TAGACGTGGTTTCCCTCAGTAAAAAAATTGCTTAGCTTCATTGCATATCAGTATTAATTTTATTTGCATAATGCGAAAAATCTGTATATTTAGTTAAATGATTTTCAACATGCATAAAACATTGCAATGTTTTAATCTCCCTCATGGCAGAATCCATACCACAAATCAGTCTGTGCAGTCAGCTAATCTCAATTATTCACTTGTTTTTGGTATCTGAAGATAACAAAACTTAAAACAATGAATTGCCTACAGTAAAAAATTGCCTACAAAAGCAAAACCTAATCTTAATTGACTGGATAAAATTGGGTGATGCATATATCCTGTATTGTCTTTTTTGGTACTTGGTTACCATTAACACAAGTGAATGCAAGTAGTGAATGCTCCTGTAAAAATAAATTGCCCACATTCCACCTTCCTTGCTTATCAAAATGATTACGTCTCTGACTAATTAGCCAACGCCTAGAAAACTCTGGAACTATTCTGTAACTTGGTCCAGTCGACATTGAAGATTGAGGGTCTCATTTTCCACCTTCTTCATTATGGACAATATTAATTTAAACAACTTGTCTTTACAAGATGACGAAGAAACTACGGAAATTTTCAATAAAAGGAAACTACGAGAATTTGGATTGGAGAGTGAACAATGGCACGACCTCCTGCTCTCGGAACATGACATATTCATAAACATGATAATTTTAACTTTCAAAAATTAAAAATTTGTTAGATTTTTATTCAATATTTAAAAAAATCTGCATTTTTGATTTTCATAACCTAACTTCATTTTCACAGAAGGACGAACTGAAGCTTATTCTGAATGAGGTACTTCTTCGAGCTCATTGTATGCAATTAATATAAGCTTATATTTTCCATGGCCAGATTGACTCGAAGTATGAGTCTCGCACCTTATCGACAAGCAATCCTGATAAAGGTAGCGTATTTGGTTTTACTCGTCACCACTCCACTGGAGAACTTCTTCCTGCAAATGTACGAGTCGCAATTGTGGCCAAGATCCTTCACAATCCAATAAGGGAGCTGGATACGCATTCGGGACAAAAAATGGTGCAAGCCCATCCCTCAAAAATATTTTTGACTGTGTTAAAAAGGACGTTGGGGGAGACTTGTTAGAACCAACTGGACTTCTTGACGGGTGGATAGCGCAAGGAGTCTTGTTGATTAACGCGTGTCCATTATACATAGTACATACTTACGAAATATTACATAATTATGTACACTCTTAAAAATAATATTACTTTTTTAAAAGCAGCAGCCCTCTCAACTCTATATGAAGGAAAACCTGCTAAATCCAGAGTAACATGCTTACTTTTTAAGGATTTAGTGTAGTTTACTTAATACAAAGTTGTTATTTTAAAAAAAGTAAAATTATTTTGAAGAGTGTATGTAATATATTTATACCCAAATATATTTTTTAATACGGCAGCCCGAGGGAGATTTTAAAGATCGTCTAACCAAAGTAACCCAAGCTTTCATTACCGGCCTAGTGAAAAAGAATAAACAAACGTTTTTCATTTTAATGGGAAGTGTAGCAAAAGCCCTTGCTACTCACAATATGGTACGCACGTATTTCTTTAATAACGTTTAATACTGATGCAAGTTCAAAGTACTATCAAAGTATTTCATCATTCAAAAATTTAAAAAGTTGAAAATAACTTAGAAAGTAAATGCGGAAAACGTCGTGGTGACGTGTCATCCCGCGTGGAAAGAATATAACAAGGAACGTCCCGAAGAATTTGAAGAAAAATTTTACAGCAAAAAACCGTTTAGCAAAGCAAATTCTTGGCTTGAAAAAACTAACCAAGGACGTGCCATAGATTGGCTATCCTTTGAATAACGCATTGCAAAAGTTTGAGTTAAATCTAAGTATAGAATTAACTGTTGATTATAATTAGCAGGAAATTACTTGTAACTCGTCTTCTTGACCAGTGGAAATAAAACGGAATAATTTTATTCCCAATAACTTTATTTTAGCTTGCTTAGCTTTACGCTGCGAAAGAAGTTTGACAGCGAAAGAAGTTTGAAGCATGGTGGGTCTAGTTTCTCTCCAAATTATAAATCGTTGTCCTGTTTTGTCTACATCGCGGCAATTTTGGCTCGAACTTTTCCAATTTTTGGAACCCTCCAGAAACAAATTAAGGATCGACATCAACGTAAATGATGTTTTGGGGGTAAATGCTATTACCCTGATCAATTTATGATTATCCACTGGTCACCGTCCTTTTCCTATTGTACGAATTGAGGTTGAACTTTGTCCGTTCGTTTGCAGTCGGCCTCGCAGCTTCGATGATTACAGTTACATGAAAGTTAATAAGATATGGCTCTCAATTGTGGAAAATGGGTGAGCAGATGTCTAAATGTTTAAATTTATATAGAAAATTTTGTACTTTATTTTATATTTTATTCTATACCTTTTTCCATTCGTTAGAAAACTACTGTCTCATTCCCAACCAATGACAACCAGATTAGAAGTATTTTCGTCTCTCAAAATGCTCAACATTCTCCAAAACGAGACAGCTGCCCCTGCTTTGTGGTCAATAAGCGAAAATTTCTTGCTAGCTGGTCAAGTCTGCTCGCATGTGATGGTTATACGATTTCTGAGCAGTTTACAGCCAACTTTATTCTTTATGATGGAGCTTGTGATTGGATTGCTGCTGATATTTCAGGGAAAATGTATCAAAGCTGGGGCTGAAATGATTGGAATTTCGACCAAGTTGAAAAAATTTTGTAGATATTTTTTTTAATTATAGGATATGTAAAATGTCTCACGTTATTTTAATTTCTGTGACAGACTGTTGCTCAATTTGGGACTAAACTCGAGAACAAAGTTGCCAAATCATTGCACCCCTTAAGAGTGAGCGTCGGCTCGTTTCACTACTTTGAGGAGTCAAGGTTCACGACATGTTTCCAATCCCATCTCGACACCGCCATTAATGTTTTTCTGAGTATCTAATCATACTTTGTTGCAAAATTCAAGATTTCACCATGGCTAAAATAGGCGGTATACAAATATAACCAATATTGTAGGAAAAATCACTATGCATACATGTTGCGGCGAGGCATAAGTTTAATAGTGAATAATTTTACGTATGAATTTCATGCAATTTTAGATGAGAATTTAGTTAAGTATTTAGTATAAGTATGAATGTCAGTGTGCAATTTCCCCATGACGAAGTGGCAGTTGCCATGGTGATATGAGTTTGAGTGGAGAGAGGGCGCTCGAGGAGAGCACACGTCAGCTGCTTCTCCTCTTTTTGTAATATTTTTTACTTTTAAAAAACCTGACGACTTGGGTCACCCCCCTTTTAAATTTTCACCGAGCTAGTCCCTTTAGGCCCCTAGTGGGCAGTGAAGTGTCTTTCGCCGTTGTAAACCACACCCGGGATTTTCTGCGATTTATTTTTTGCTCCGTTTCTTCTCAACACGGATCACCTCGCCCCGACTCCCCCTAGCAACCGGTTGCTAAGGCCACGATTTCTTCCGTTTCTGGTGGAATTTCGACCTGAGCGGACAAGGAAGGATCACCCACGGTTCAAATCGTGTAGGGGGGAGGTCCCTGCGCCCCCAGAAGTGGCGCGGAGTTTGAGCGACCACTTTCTGCAAGGGCTGGCCTCTCTCAGGCATTATTAATGTCCAAGTCAGGCGAGAAATTTTACAAAATTTCAAATCTTTTGGTTTTGTTCAATTGGCTTGGAGCTAGAGGATCCTACTAATTGTTTTTGTTTCCTTGAGTGGGATCAATTGGTCTCTCTGCGCGCTCAAGGCCCCCCGCAGCCATGTCCACGACGCAACACAATTCTGACCCCCCTTCTTCGCAACCACCGCGGGACGACTCCTCACCTGCGCCACGTCCACGCGGTCGACCGCGAAAATCAATTATTGGATTCGCTCTCTCTGCCATTGGTCTAGGTGGAGATGAACCTTCTTCGAGTGAGGTGGCGACACCGGCCCCAATTCCCGTCGTCGACCCCCCTTCCACTTCAGACTCGTCACTCAGCGTTCCCCGTCCATGCCGGACGTCTGTCGCCCCCACTTCTCCCGGTGTTACCAAAAATGACACTATTGCGTCCGCCCGGGAGTGGGTACGCACTTCGTTCGTGGTAGCCGACCCCAACGCCCTACCTCAAATTCTACTTAAGAAAGCGGACGTCTTCACCCGCTACTCGGTTTTTGTCGCCCAGAGCGGGGAGGGTGGAGTCACCGAGGCCACCCTCGGCAAATATATCAAGAATTTTTTCCCCGACTCCACGACTCGTCGCGTTGGAGTCAGAGGAGGCTCCCAATACTGCTACGAGGGCATCCAGTGGGCGGATGCACCTCCTACTTTACCACAACAACAACAACGCGATTGGGGAGAAATCTTGGCTCGCCTGAAGACCACCACCCCGACTTTGCGAAGAGTTCCTCGGGGTGCGAGGAGGCAGGTGGCGCAGTGCCTCACCAAGATTCTGGAGCAAGCGACGGAGTCGACCGACGAAGAATGTTGGGGAAAGCTGCTCCTTTTCCCCTATGCAACACTTCCCGTACCCCAGAAGGAGGACCGTGTCAAGAATTTGACCACGTGGGTCAAGAACAATACAGATTTGTGGGGAAAGAGCGACTTTTCCATACCACGGTCCCTACCACCGCGCCCGCCTTCCAACAAACCTCCACTCGACATGACGGCGAAGAAGGTGGAGGCGAAACTCGCCGATGGGGACATCAAGGGAGCAATCCGCCTCGCCTGCTCCGATGACACCATCGCACCGTCCAACGACGAAACCCTTGCCGCGCTGCTCGCCAAACACCCGGCTCACCCACTACCAACTAATTTCCCACCAGCACTTGAGGATCACGTCATTGCCCCAGTGCTGGACGAGGAATTGTCCAAGGCCATCTCCTCGTTTCCGCCGGGGTCGCCGGGGGGTCTAGACGGGATGAGGCCCCAGATTTTGAAGGACCTTTTGTGATGTGTTCAGGGGGAGGACGGCGACCAACTCGCGGAGGCGATGCGAGCCTTCCTTAACAAGGTTCTCGCCGGTGGAGTCCCGTCAACTTTTTGCCCCTTCTTCTTCGGAGCGTCCCTCACCGCGTTGAAGAAGAAGTCGGGAGGGATTCGACCCATCGCTGTGGGAAACACTTGGCGGCGACTGGCCGCGAAGATCGCCGTGGGGAGAATTACCCCCCAGTTAATTCAACATTTCTCTCCCCACCAACTCGGAGTGGGCATCAAAGGAGGTGCGGAGATCGGCACCCACGCAGCCCGCATCTACTACAACCACCCCCACACCTCTCCAAAGGCGTTCCTGAAAATTGATTTCAGGAACGCCTTCAACGAAATTAGGCGGGACACGCTTCTCGACGTCGTCCGCGACCTGTTCCCGTCAATTTTCCCGTTCGTGGCGCAGTGCTACGCCAGCCCCTCGTCACTTTTCTATGGGATGATGCCCATCCCCTCCCTACTCGGCTGTCAACAAGGGGACCCTTTGGGCCCCGCCCACTTTTCCCTTGTGGTCCACCCCATCGTCGAGGCGGTGGAAACGGAGCTCAACTTGTGGTACCTCGACGATGGGGCCATGGGGGACCCGCCAGAGAATGTTTTGGCCGCCCTAGCAACTGTTGCTAGGATGAGCGGCGAAGTTGGCCTCCACCTCAACACGGAGAAATGTGAAGTGGGGATCCTGGGGGCGGAGCGCGAAGAAGCCATCGACATCCTCCTCCAATTCCAGCAAGTTGCCCCCGGAATCCAGCTAATGTCCCCCGATTCTGCGATGTTGCTAGGCTCCCCTCTCACAAATGAAGCGCTGGAGGTTGTCCTGGCAACCAAATCTCAACAACTTGCAACTTTCTCCCAACGACTCCTCGGCCTCTCGGCCCACTCGGCCTTTTTCTTACTCCGCGCGTCAATTTCCATCCCTGGGCTCATCTACTTTCTCCGCTGCGCCCCGTCGTGGAGGAAGATGGATGCCCTCACTCACTACGACGCCACCCTTAAGGACGCGCTTGAGGGGATCCTCAACTGTACTCTCTCGGAGGCTGCATGGATGCAGTCGTCCCTGCCGGTGAAGGAAGGCGGCCTCGGGGTCAGGCACGCTGTGGATGTGGCGATACCGTGTTTTCTTGCGTCCGCCCACAGCGTCCTGCCCCACGTAGAACGTCTCCTTCCGGAGTATCTCCATGGCAACGACATCGCCATGGCAGAGGGAGTACAGCGCTGCACGGACCTCCCACCTGAAACCGTCAGAGGAGTCCAAGCAGCGTGGGAGCCCTATTCTGGACAAGACTTTGTCCCATCTCTCCGATTTGGCAGTTATCCCGGAGGATACTGCCCGACTGCGATCTCTGCCCAATAAGTACGCGGGGGTGTGGCTCACCCTTCCCTCTCCACAGCTAGGCACCTTGCTTTCCAACGAGACCTTCCGTGTCTCCGTTGCTCTCCGCCTCGGCTGCGACATCTGCCAGCCGCACAAATGCCCGTGCGGAGCCCAGGTCTCCTCCCGCGGCCTACACGGCCTTTCTTCACGCCGGAGCGCCGGTCGTTGGTCCCGCCACGAGGCCGCCAACGACGTTATCGCGAGGGCCCTCCGATCAGCGGAGGTACCCTGCATCAGGGAGCCAGCGGGGTGCTCCACCACGGACGGCAAGCGTCCTGATGGAATGACTCTTGTGCCGTGGGCGAGGGGGAGGTCCCTCGTGTGGGATTTTACGTGCGCGGACACTTTCGCCCCCAGCCATTTACCCGACACCGTGCGCCATCAGGGCGCTGCAGCCAGCAAGGCGGAGGACGCCAAGAAGAAGAAGTACGCGTTCTTGATGGACCGGTACATTTTTGTCCCGGTTGCCATGGAAACGACTGGAGTTTGGGGGCAGGAGGGGCTCGCCCTCATCGAACAAATCGGGCAAAGGATTGCCTCCACGACTGGACAGCTCAATGCTGTCAATTTTCTCCGCCAGCGAGTTTCTCTCGCCGCACAGCGAGGGAATGTGGCGTCGATTTTGGGTACACATCCTCCAGGGAAAGAGTTGGAGGAGGTGTACTATTTGTAGGACCCCCGGCTTTCTACCCATATTTTTTCTACGATTTGATTTGATTTGCTACGATTTAATTTTGATTTGCTACGATTTAATTTTATCTTCAGATAGGGATTTCTTTTGTGAGGCGCCCGTCGTTTAGCTTTTTTTAAAATGAACAATATGTAACTACGCATTCTTTCAACTCTGCGAACACAAAAAATTTCTCTGCGATACAACTTATGCTATGATCAATAAAAATTTTTTATGTTTGAGTGGGAGATGGGACGCGTTTTCTTTGTCGTTGAGAGAGTGAGTGTGAGAGAGAGTGCGAAGTAAGTAAGAAGAAGTAAGCACCAGCCGAGCAAGTAAGAAGCTCCATTTTGTATTCGTAAAAATTATTCGAATAAACTTCAAAAATTAATTAATTAAATTATTAGCATTAATTATTAGCATCTAATTAATTAATTAAATTATTAGCATTAATTATTAGCATCTAATTAATTAATTAAATTATTAGCATTAATTATTAGCATCTAATTAAAAGTTTTTTAGTTATTTATTTACGTATACTCTACCTCAAGCTAAATTAAGCATAATTGGCACGATTTAAGCCGTTTTGGCAAGATTTTAGGCCAGTTTTAAGTTTCAAGTCCCCGTTAAGTCTAAGTTCAAGTCCAAGTCCAGTTTAAGTCCAAGTCCAGTATAAAGTCCAATAAGTCTACGCATAAGTCCAGTATAAAGTCCAATAAGTCTACGCATAAGTCCAGTATAAAGTCCAATAAGTCTACGCATAAGTCCAGTATAAAGTCCAAGTCTTCGTATAAGTTTCATTACGGCACGAGTCAGATCACCAGAAATTAGTTATCACGAGGATACTTCTGAAGTTGATAAGCCCCGGCCGTAACAATACAAGAAGGATGCCGTTTATTACTTCAGCCAATCATAAATATCACAATGTGGATGCCTTTCCAACCCAAGCTAAAAACTAAAGTATTCTCCGTTCAACGGTTTGTTTACATAGCATTTGCACTACGTAGCCTCGTTTAACTATCACTTTGTCTCTTGAGAGCTGCATCATCATCGAGAGAGAAATGTTTTTCATGGGCATTGCCTCCTATGGGAAAGTTATCAGTTTCTTTCTAATCATTTCATGTTTATCCAGGATAATAATCCAGGCACCGAGAATACAATCGCTATTTACATGCGTACTAAATGAATATGTGTAAACTCTATGAAATTTATTATGTTGCAAATACATATGTATCTGCTTGGATCTATTGGGGTATCATTGCATATCGTAAATTTGTGATTCTAAACTCATATTGTTTTCTAACTCGTGTTAGTGACTTATCCTAAATGTTTTGTCTACATATATAATGACCCGTAAAATTTGCGAAATCTACTTATACAATACATAAATGACTACACACGTATTTAGCTCTTACCTTTCTTCATAAAAGAATAATTTATAAATTGAATATATTTATTATTGGAAAAATCCTTATAAAAAGTACTACTTCTCCAAGTTATGAATGCGACCACAGTGTCTCACCAAATCTTGAAAAGAGGCAAATTTCTTTCCACAAAAGTAACATTCATGCTTCTTGACGTTATGCCGTCTTATGTGCATGGCTAAATTGTGTTTTGAGTGACTTCTGTACTCGCACTTATCGCAGGAATGAATCTTCTCCTTGCTCACGGGGTGTATCGCATCCACGTGTCGTTGCAAACTATTTAATATCGAGAAACTTTTGCCACAAAATGTGCAGCAAAAATTCCTCTGATTTTCATGACGACCGCGAATATGCGCTTGTAAGCCATCCCTATGCAAGAAAGTCATCGGACAAAGGTTACAGTTTAAAACTTCTCGTGCAGATTTTTCCAAGTGTGTCACCTGAAAAATAAATAAAAACTTGAAATTGTTCTCCATTTTTCATACAATAAATTTACATAATTACATACCTCGTGACGTTTCAAGGTTTGCCTGTTTGCAAACGTTTTCCCACAGGTGGCACAATTGTGTGGCTTCAGGATGGGAATGTGCGGCTCAAACAAACTGTCTAGACTGAGAATAAATACGTTTGAAATTTAAGAAATGCTAAGAGACAGGGTTTCGTTTTTGCCACGGCAGTGGGGAAAACGGGAAAAATGGTTTTTACCGTTTAAAAAGTGAAAATATTGCAACCCATGACTCCAGTTATGGAGAAACTTGAGTTTTGATAATACAAGTTAGTTAGGGCCGAATTACTAATGGACACTTAGGGGGCTTTGAGTATAAGTGAACCCTTACCTCAGCACTTTTTAAATTAATAACACTTCTTTAATTGATAGTCAATATTTTCAGAGTTCGACTTCATATTCGTCAACCCCATGAAATTCTGAATATTTTGATACACAATGCGAGCACTTTTTAACAGTTTTGATTTTGTTGCTTATTTTTCCATAAGAATACATTGTAATTTTAAAGATTTCCCGATTTTAACCGTATTTTCTCAGAATTTCATGGAGAATACGAATATGAAGTCAGATTTCGATTTTAAGAAGTTGTTTTGGATCGCCCAAAACCACAGTTTTTTCCCATTTCTCCCACCTATTTTGGTGAGTCGTAAAAAAAGTACCGTTTTCCCAGTTTTTCCCACTGCCCTGGTCAATTTGGTTTTTACCAATCGAAACCCTGCTATAATGGAAGAGTACATAAAAAAAATAATTTTACAAAGTGTTTCTCCTCTCCATGGTATGTTTGTTAGCGCAGTGGATCACCAAGTTTTGAAAAGAGACGAATTTCCCCCCACAAAAGTAACATTCTGGCTTCCAGGCATCATGCCGTCGCTTGTGCATGGCTAAATTCCCTTTCGAATGGCTCCTGTACGCACATCTGTCGCAGGAATGAATCTTCTCCGCCTTGTTCGCAGCATGGACCGCTTCCACGTGGCGTTTTAAATTATTCGATGCCGAGAACCTTTTCTCACAATGTGCGCAGGCGTAATTACCATAATTTTCGTGAACCAGGCGGATATGCGATCGTAAGTCGAAACCACGGAGGAATGTGTGCAGACAAAGTTTGCACTTCAAAACAGCATTTTCCAAATGTGTCGCCTAGAAATACAGATACATATCGTCGTACTAATTCTAAAAAGATCTATGTCCACGGGTTTTTTAATTCTGAAATGAACTGGTTTGTTAATTCTAAAACCAGCTATGTCCAGCCAGTGCTTAATTCTAAAAAGAGCTAAGTGCACCATAAAACCAATGGTGTGAACGGTGCACTTAGCTGGTCTCAGAATTAAGAAGTGACTGCGCTGAGCAGGTTTTGCGGTTAATGAATAACGGCACATAGATCATTTTAGAATTAGTACCTACAATATAGTTACATGTATATTTACCTTGTGCACTTTTAGGCCTTGCAATCGTGCAAAACTTTTCTCACAAGTGGCACACTTGTGAGGCTTCTCGGTCGTATGAGTCAAAATGTGAAGCTCGAGGTGCGGTCGGAATTTATATTCTTTGGCGCAAAGTGTGCACGGAAATTTTACCGGGTTTTCAGCGTGTTCGGTTTTCACATGCTTTGAAACATCACGCCGGTCCAGGTAGGTTTTCTCGCAGGTGGAAAATGTACATGGGAACCGGGGCCGTTCCTCCGATCCGTGCACGGCGTCGATATGCATCCGTAAAGCGCGGGAGTCACAAAATAGCCGATGACAAATGTGGCAATTGCGACGGTCCCGGTTTTTATGAATTCTCGCGATGTGGCCGGCCAGGGCGACCGGGTTTTTTGAAATTTTTCCGCAAATCTAAATACATTTTTATGGTACAATTGTTAAAGTTAATTTCAATGTCAAAATTAAAGGTCAAGGATTAAAAGTGCACCTCGCATTTCATCCTCGCATCGGGATCGTGCGAGACGACGTGATTTTTCAAGGACTGCTTGGTTTTGAGCGTTTTTGAGCACTTGGGACATTCCCATTTCTTCCCTGAATTTCGACCCATCTGTGGCGAATCTATTGACTTGCGTCGTGTTGGAGGCTATTTTATTACTAAATCCAGTTTTATGTAAGAGGGGGAGATAGAGTAGTGGAAGGTCTGAAAAAGGTTATAGTTTTAACCTTGTGCGAAGCAGAACTGATGGGTCAGTTCAATTTCTATCTTTTAAATAAGTAGATCATTTTGAATGCCTTACATTCGAGGGTTGCTTAATCCGTTGGCCGACCCATTGTTCACTTTCTGAATATATTTACCTTCACTCCAGGCTGTGAACCTTTTTCGTCTGTGGTAAAATTTATGTAGAGGATTTTATGTGAACCCTGCACCACAAGCCTTGTCAAACTGGAATTTTGCACGTAAAAGACTTGCATTCTTATTGTGCGATCGGTTAGTTAGTCTGTCTGTCGGTCAGTCAACACTATAATTCGAGAACGGTTTGTCGAAGCGACCTGAAATTTTTAACACATTTTCTTCGTGGGTAGGGGGTGACACCATATTAAGGGGGTGTGACCACTTTGTCGACATCATGCCCAAAAACGTCGCCATGGCCGTATTTCGCCATTTTTCGGTCGATTTGCATGAAATTTGGGTAAAACATGTTTTACAGTGTTTCCACATGTCGCAGTATGGCGATTAAGGTGTCGACAGATTTTGTCGCCATGGTGTAATTTGGCCATTTTTCAGTCGATTTGCATGAAATTTGGGCAAGGCATGTTCTTCGCTGTTGTCTACATGTCGCAGCATAGCGCATGTGGCCAATTAAAGATAATTAGTTTGTTTTTAATTAATTATTTTTTTAGGTATTATTGAAATTTGAATCGGTTAATTATTTGCTGTATATTGTGGGGCATTCTCAGGATTTTTGCGCTTCCTAGGTATCGTGCTTTGCCGCACTTTATTCTAATGGAATACATTCCGAAGCTTTATATGTTTTTTAACAATGATTGTTGAACAAATGGTTTTGGCTTGTTTGTAAATATTGTTGCCGTACAGAGGACTACATGTTGTGCCGGCGAATTCGAAGTTATATACCACTGCCTAAATCACGTGGTTTCGAATGTGTTTAAAACTTCCTAAAATGAAGGCTATCTGTATTGCAAAATTCAGGAACTTTTAAGTATCCAGTTTTGAAAGTGATTGGAGTCCGACAGAAAATATATTGTTTGCGAAAAATTTGGCGACCAAAACCAACCACAATATACTATATATCGCGATTATAATTCTTACATTTAAAGTAGTAAATTTCAGCTGTTCTTTGATTCCAAGTGGAAACCGCTGCACACACATCTTTACGTACAAAAGAAGATTTCTCGGGATGAAAGGATTGCAGCATTGTTCCAAAATGTTTGCAAAATTTGAAAACAAACTTATCCACTTATTACTGAGAATGCCCCTGAATAATTTCATTTTTTCTGTTACACACATACACGGTGTATGTGTGTAATATGTAATATGTCACAATGCCAAAGCAATATACACATATTTTACATATATCGACTTTTGGGACATATAAAAATGTTATTACATATTTCGGCGATTTTGCCAGAAATGTAGATTTTTTGATAAGCATAAATTAGTTTTCTTTAATATATTTTGGTGATTTCGTCAAAAATATATATTTTTGGATGCCATAAATATGCTATTATATATTTCAGCAATTTTTCCAAAAATATATATTCTTTTAAAAACAGTCAGAAATTAAGAGTTAATTAATAATTGATAAATATTGAACTCCAAATGATATTGTGTTCGTAAACTACGCACGAAACTATTTGCTTCCGATCAACGTAGAAATGACACAAAAGCATGTGAAAATGGTCTTAGAATGTCTGAAATGTTCAAGCATTTTCAGCATTGTTGTATGCTGCAAATTGCAGTTAAAAAATTAAATTTAAAGTAATTTAAAAGGCACTTTAAAAAAATGTTTTTATACATATATCGGCTATTTGGTTAAACGTATTGCGTATATATTTCAGGGTTTTCAAAAACACGTGTATTTAGCCGGAATCTGCTAATTACCTTAGGTTAAAATTTGAATTAGTATTGTATAAAATCTTGATATGTGAGATTTATTAATTAAAAATAGTAAAAAACTACAACAAACTATACTAATTAATTATGCTAAGCAGTTGTTATTTATGCCAGCCATTTGAATTTACGCACTTCAAGGGAGAATATTCTCGCACAGTCACCGCCAGACTGCAGATTTTTAGTAAATGCGGATTATCCGATATCCGATCGGATATCCGAAGTATCCGTCGGATTGATCCGATCGGATAACAAGTCTTATCCGATCGGATAGTTCTCGAATATTTTTATTTACGATCCGATCCGATGATTATCCGATCCGATCCGACGGATCGGATAATCTCGGATCGGATAGACCAACCCTACTTGCGCTACTTGTTTCGGGGCTGGTACCTTACAGGCGATGGCTGTTCCGGAAATTTATATTTTCTTCTACTTCCAACGGAGTTACAGAAATTGTAGATAGAAAGTGAAACAGTATCAGGAAAATTTCAAATTAGCCACAATTTCCGACATTCCCCCTTCGGAAAAGCTGGTCGACTAGGGACGACAAACTCTCGCAAATTTTTATCAATTTTTGTAACCAAACATTTATTCTACACCAATTAACTACGTTTCGGAAAAATTATATAAATACAAAACTCCCTACTTATGCAATTTTTTCGGTAAATAGAATTTTGTCAGTTTTTATACTGCTTCAAATACTATTTGGGAACCTGTATATCGGAATAATTCACAACTTTCATATGTAGTGTAAAAGCATTATGTCTGGCTTATCCGAGAGAATTTTTCGGAAAAAAGTGAATCAGCCGTTATAATTTTTATTATTTATTGTTCTAAACCTTAATCCTTGTTTTCTAGCTTAAATTTAATTTACTGCACTTTTTTATCGACTTTTTCCCCGAAAAGTATGCCACTGTGTACATACATGTATATTTTATTACCAATGAAGTAATATCTGGATAATCTCTTACAAACTTAAATTGATTGATCGGCCACATAACCTTTTAGGAGAAAAATTCTGCCGTTTTGTTAGATCAACCATAGAGCATTGCTTTCGCGACCTACCGTATTCTGTATGTTTTTTTAAGTGTTTCAGAATTTTTCTAGTATCACACCCCTCTCCCGTCATACGCACTAAAAGATTTTAGTACGTGTAAGCGAGACGTACATATTTTCGTATAATTAGACAGAAAGGGGAATTTCCTACCCAGACAGGTACACACAATAATGTAGAAAATGTATAGAGATAATTTAAGTAATTGTATGTATGTAGATAATTTATAATGTATATACAAACTTTGTACCTTGAGCCTTTCAATCAAAACTTTTATATGCGTAATGGACAACTACACTCTTAATAATCCGGTAAATTCACACAGGTAATGATTTCTCGGTAATAAATTTGGTAATAATATTTTACCAGGTAGTAAAAATTCGTTACCATAATGGTAAAAATTTATTACCATACGGGACAACTCATCATCACCACTCTGGTAGAGTCATATACTTGTGCTTTTCGGTAATGTTTATTACCATATTATTTACAGTGTATATGCGCAAATCCAAGCCTTTATGTCACGTAACAAAATAACGTTGACAATATCATCACTCACCTGTCCAACCTTATTTGCGAAACTGGGAGATAAAACGAGAAATAAAATTGTTATCTAGTCAAGTTACAAGGAAAATAAATTAACACAGGTACACACATAACAGACATATGTACAACTTCGCGGAGCCCTACATATGGTTTATTTATTATACAACGATTCATAAATTAGATAACTTCACTTTATATTATCAAATCTTCAGTGTAACAACACCTGTACCCAATTACCTACCGCTATGCTATTTGCAGCATTCTACAACTATTTTGAATACAATGATCCAACATCCAACCTAAACGAGGCAGGCACACAGTTCAACCATAACTGTTCACATTCACTCAATAAAGTGAATTTGAATAATGAATGAGTGTGAATTATTAAAAATCAAATGAATTTTGAATGAATAACCAAGCTTCATTCATTTATTCATTTAATATCGAACAATGAATATGGTCCATTCATTTATTCAATGGATATTGAATGAATGAACAAAATTTTGAATTGCATAACGGGATGTACCAAACGAATTATGAATAAATTTGTCACTCATTTATCACAATCTGAAGTGAATGAGTAGCTGCGGTATGACATTTCCCATTCCTTCATTATGAGTGTGGTAGAAATTTTTATGTATTATATGCTTCATTACATTTCGAGAACCTTTTTAGCTGATTTCTTTATTACGCTATAAATTTATGTTAACTTTTAAGCTCTAGTTCGCCCGCATATAAATAAATATCATATATTTTGAGCTACTGAATCAGCAAAACAAATGATTTAAGAAAATATGGTGTATGGTAAACGTCAACTTCGCAACTTTCGAATAAATGAATAAATAAATGAATAAGTAAGTGAATGTTTGAATGAATGAATGAATGTTTGAACGAATGAATGAATGTTTGAATGAATGAATGAGTGATTGAATAAATGAATATTTGAATGAATGTTGTCCATACAACATGTGAATGAATGAATAATTGAATGAATAATTTCTCTTGAACACGTATAGTTCAACCACTTGCTCGTTTTGCCCCATCTTCAAACTCAATTCGTAATCCGTCATGTCTTAAATGTTTGCCAAATTTAAGACGATCTCAAAAGTTTTACTAAAATTATCCCAAAACCGACGGACGGATAACACTGACACGTAAACCCTTGGCCCGGCCAAAATCATATTTCATTAACGAACCTTATCTTATCACTCTGTTGCCCAATATGTCTGCAAATATGTCATGACATTTCGCTTAAAACTCTTGTCTCCTTACGTCCGTAATTATTCTCAATCTCACTGAATTACCGTCATCATCAAAATGTTTGTTAAAATTATTCTCGCACTTGTAACTATTACGTGTATTGTTACATCAGAAAATATTGGTGACCCATGCGAATCAGAATTTGACTGTCCATCCAACTCTATTTGTGGAGAAAATAACCAGTGTCAATGTGTCGAGACCACTTTCCCCTCCCCAGACTTGACTCGATGTCTCCTTTACGCCACCAAAGTGGGAGATCCATGCCAAATTAGACAACAATGCGTCACCATATCAAACAATCCTGCCGCCTTTCAGTGTGACGATGAGACTGCGAGTTGTGCTTGTTCGTCTGGTTTTATTGCTTCCACAACATTTGAAAGGTGTCTTCCCACGCGGCAAAATTTAACTGAGGAATGCACCGATGATAAGCAATGCCTTACCGGTAATTCATTTTGTGTCCGGGAAAGCCACAGTGAAACCGCAACCTGTAAATGTGGCAAAGATTTTGTGGAAATTTTTTCTCGAGACAGTAGTAAATTGGAGTGTTTTCAGGTATGAAAATTTTAATTAAGCATACTCACCTAATTTTTGCATAAATTCAGGATGATAACATGGTTTTCAAATTTTCCAAAAATTATCCCCGTATAAGTCCTTCAATTATTCACCCAAGCTGTGAACAATATTTTTGGCCCCCATTAAATTAATTACAGCAGAAAATAAGACGTACTACATACATACACCAATTCGAAATATATGCACATGCAAGCGTACAACTTATCTTCCAATTTGGTTAAACTTCGACTCTTCTAAATTTACAGATCCAACGGGAAATCAGCGGCCCGTGTGATTACGACGAGCAATGCCAAGCCCAATTTGGCCCGGTTTCCCTCTGTGTGCCCGAAGTAACCCCGCCTTTTGTTGGGAGATGTAAATGTTCCAGCTTTAACGGTGCTATCCACGTCCCATCGGACAACCGCTGTTACGAACGTGTCCCCCTTGGAAGAAACTGTACCTCCAACTACGAATGTCTCTTCGGAATCAATCAACACGCCTTTTGTAACCCTACCTCGGGGAAATGCGAGTGTCACACTGGCGCCCTTCCAAGTCCGTACACTGACCAGTGGTGTTACGCTAACAGAACGATTGGATCCGACTGCACTGAGGTATTCAGGGATTGTTCCATGTTCATTGAAGGAACCGTGGGGTGTGATAAAACCACTAATAAATGTGCCTGTCAGCAAGAACAAGTCCCCACCCCGGATGGCAGAAGATGCTTAAGAAAACCGGAAAAGTTAAGTGATGCATGCGTCTATAGTGCAGAATTTGATTATTGCACCCAACTTGTGGAAAATTCACATTGTTATATAGCCACGAGAGATAGTATGGTAGGAGTTTGCGAGTGCAGACAAGGTTTCTTCAAGAATGCTTCCGCAGATCGGAATTCGTACGATTGTGCCCCAAACCCAAAAAAGATTGGGGACTTTTGTAGCAATTCCGGTATGTGTCTTATCATCAGTAGCTTGGCGTATTGTAAAGAATATGGAGCAGGTCTGGGCAGATATAAAGCTTGTGGATGTATGGACATATCGTACGTTGACGAGGATGGGACAAGGTGTATATTGAAATCGGAGGAGTGTCAGTTTCCAAATCTTACCACGACTACCACAAGGCGATCAAGTAGTTCAAGCAAAGTTGATAGTTTGAGAGATTGGTTTATGTTACTAATTATCGCAAGTTTTGTATACGAATGGAAATAAATGGGTCAAAATCTTGCAGTTGTATTTATTTAAATATATAAATTTTTTCTGGTGCTATATAATCAACCAAATGTTTCTTTCATGTGCTTCACAACAAATTTAAATTTAATCGGAACTATAAATCTAAATTATTTATTATTTATTATTTAATAAATTGTATTGCAATTTGTAATGTGATTAAAAGAATGAAATAAAATTCCACCTACCCTAAGAAAGTTCAATATTATCAGCATCCTGTTAATATTTTCTATCCAAATCCACCTATTATTTTTTATAATAAGCCCTCGAATTCAAGGTCACTGTTGTTATTCATATGATGAAATGGATTATTATCGTTGTAACAATAAACTGTTTGAATAAAAAATGATTTAACACAATCCAATAATAAAATATCGTGATGCCGTGCCGATATTATTGAAATATGTTAGGGTGGGTGGGATTTTATTTCATTATTTCAATCGCACATCTAAGACTCACCTAAGCAATCCTTATTAAGGTTTAGTTTATGCATGTACATAAATATGTACCGATTATACATACATAAGATGTTCCGGGCCAACGCTGTATGTAGGGTTGCAGAAATCTCATGTCAGACTCGCAAATCTCATCTCAGTGAGCGAGATATAAAGAGAAATAGTGAGGTATGAGAAATTCGAGAAATAACGCGATTTATGATGCGTGTTCTAGTGCCATCTAACGGGCGGCGTCATGCACTACAATTATAACTCATTATTTCTCATATCGTCGGCTTAGTGAGTAATCCAGCTAGGTCCAAAATGCATCAAAAATAAACCCAGTCAAGTCCCGTACAAAATGGAGGACTTGACTGGATTTCTTTTTGATGCATTTTGGACTTGACTGGATTTCTTTTTGATGCATTTTGGACTTAGCTGGATTACTCACTAAGCATTATGCATTACTCTATTATGCATTATGCATATGCATTACTCTCTCACCCAACTGAGATGATTGATATATATCATTAAATCTCATTAAATCTCAATTGGCGACATATCGTCGTTCTAATTCTAAATAGAGCTAAGTTCAGTGAATGCTTAATTTAAATAAAGCTAAGTGTAGTCAGTTCTTAATGTAAAAACAAGCTATTAACTGCACTTGTTTTAACTATAGTCTTTATGGTGCAGTTAGCCTGTTTTATAATTAAAAATTGACTGCACTTAGCTTTATATAAAATTAAGCATTCACTGCACTTAGCTCTATTTAGAATTAGAACGACGATATATCACTTGCAACCCTGCCTCTATGTAGGTTTTGCCCGTTATGATCTGCCCCTTATAAGTCAGACAGCTACACGTAAACATCCCTACTTGTATTATTAGATGCTTTCTCTGCCTTTTTCGTCCCTAAAGTACTTCATACTTCATACCCTTCTTCATATATAGTTGTGCATAACACTCCAGTAATGTTGTAGCCTGTTCATTTTTATAACTAATATACCATTCTCTTGCTTCAGATGTTTATTCACATTTACGTTGTTGTTCTCAACCATTTTTGGGTATATTAAATATCAGTGCTCTTCATTGTCAAGAACTAATTCTCAAGTAAATCACAACTATTGATTGTGTAATAACATTATGCCAAAATTGTTATTCGCAGGTGCATTATTCTTGCACATATTTGCAATGACGAAATCTAAATGCAATTTCAATTTCCCATTGCATCAATAATCGGCCGCTGACGACTTTGACAGAGGACTCGGAAGATTTGACACCGTTAACCCCTGCCATGTTCATGAGAGACCTTCCTGTGGCAGGATTGCCGGAACGGGACCTAATCTGTGCGAAGGATTTGCAAGGAGCATTTGCCAAGATCTGTGACCTCAAGTACGCCTTACAAGAGCGCTTTAGGAAAGAATATCTGGCTCTGCTGGTGGCGAAAAGAAATGAGAAATATTCGTATAAACCTGAAGTAGGAGAAATCGTGCTTGTGGGTCACGACAACAAGAAGAGATACCAGTGGCCATTGGGGCGAATCTTGGAACTGTGCCCAGGCCGAGATGGAAAGATTCGGGTGGCAAAAGTGAAGACTACAAATGGAGTTCTGCTGAGACCATTACAACGTTTGTATCCATTGGAGGTGTCAGCATCCGAATTGAAGACTGGACAACGCCAAGAAGAAACAAGAGTGATCACGGTTCCCAGTGACGACCAGGAACGCGGAAATCGTACCGTCAAGACTCGCAGCGGGAGAGAAGTACAATTACCGATACGTTATGGCCAGTGGAATCAGTGAAATTTAAAAGTGAATTATGCGTATATTTAGTATATTTTAGTGTTAAGATGTTTTGATTTGTATGCGTATAATTTGTGTGAATGTATGAATCGTTCTTTTACTTATTATTGGCGTAAAAGAGGTGGGAGAAAATGTAGTAATGAGAATTGAGTCGCATTTTTCCCCTTAGCTTTAAGTGTCGCGGTGCAGAGATTGCATCATCTTTCTTGTCGTCGTAGTTGAAAGAAAGGAGAATTTAGTAAGAGTTTTAAGTTAGATTTGGAGAGTAGTCAAGTTTTTGAGCTCTGAATTAATTGTCATAATTCTTATTCGTATAATTAAAAATAAAGTAAGATAGTTTGAGATAGTGAAATCTGCAGTCTAGTCTACTTTGTTTATACGGAAAAAGTTATTCTCAACCACCGGACATCAGGTCGGCTGTCATTATCATCCTCTTTCGAAATCACGGCCGGCTCAACCCAGAGTAACGGTTATCACGGGTAGTGTTAAGGCCGACTCTACACTTTATAAACTATTTAGCAAAGTTTATTGTACTTAACTTAAACGACTTCTTATCACAATTATGGTATGTAATGTAAATGAAGTTATTTCTTGCAAGATGTTAAACACTGATGACAACCAGACTCACATCGTAGATTTCGTTATATTGCGCATTTTTATGTACAAGCATATCAATTTATGGTGAAAATTTTAAAAGAAGAAACTAATTCTTGCTGAAATGTGAACTGGCCGATGTGCCAAAAACTCGTTATGGAAAAACTTCAAAACCCAACCAATTTTCCAATTTTCCACCAATTTTTGAATTTCAAAATGTTTTGGAAACCTCTGGCCGTGGGGCAAATTATATATTCCCAAATTTTGAAAATTTTGACCCCACCCACTCTAATTCAGGTCACAAGGTCATAAAAACGAGGCAAATATTTATGTACTCCCAGGCCACCCCAAAAAATATTTTGATTAAACAACTGCCACTTATTGTTTAGGTTATCGTTGGCCGTCTAGGTCATTACAAAAACTTTCAAGACCACACCCCCAGTGGGTGTGGCTTTCTGCGCTTTTGACCAGTTTTTGATAAAGTGGATCTTGTGACATATCATTTTTGTCAGAAAAGTCAGGACACTCCATTCGAGGTATATGTGTCAAAAACCACTCCCCCAGTGGGTGTGGCTTTCGGCGCTTTTGGCTAGTTTTAGAGAAAGTGGGTCGTGTGACATATCATTTTTCTCAGCTTGGCGAGGAGATTTCGACTGAGTAAGAAAAATTTTGCGACCACACCCCTCAGTGGGCGTGGTCTCGGCGCATTTCCAATTTAATCGAAACCATGTCATGTGACATGTCATTTTGCTGAGCTCGACGGGGAGTTCCAGATTAATCTATTACAAAATTGAAACCACACCCCCGGTGGGTGTGACCCTCTGCGTCTTTTCGATTTTATCCAAAACATGGGTTGTAACACATCATTTTTGTCAGTTCTACGAGGGGATCATCATTGAATAATTATAATTTGAAACCACACCCCCAGTGGGAGTGGTCATTTTTGAATTTTCGAATTAAGTTAAACCATGTCATGTGATATATCATTTTTCAAATCTAGACGGGAGGATCTCAATCGAATTATTGAAATTTGGGAACCTCACCCACAGTTAATAGGGGGTGGGGTTAATAATAGCAAATTTTCGATTTAATCAAGACCATGTCATGCAATATAACACTTTTCGCAGCCGGATAAGCCGGAAAATTTGACGTCAAAACCATAAGTGTTTCTGACGGTTCTTCTGCACTTTTTGTGCGTTTTTCACCTATTCCATCAATTGTTTGGCACCATTTTGAGTCGCCGCTTGTTCGATACCAGTGGTGCTATTAAGTATGTCACGAACGTGAATAAGTCGCAGTAATTAGCATCAATTGATGCAAAAGAGTCGTTAACAGACAGACAGACGGACAGACGGACAGACAGACGGACAGACAGACGGACGGACAAGAGGAATTCAATAGCTCCTCTGCTGCGCAGGGTGAGCTAATGATCAGAAAATAAAAATTGTGCTTAAATACCAATTGCTACATACGTGCTCTTACAATCTCTGCATTTATGATGATGACACGACAATCTCATTGCACTAAGGTAAATATGCACTTAATCTGAAATATATAGGTTAATGATGCCAACTTAATGACTAATTTATTTATGGAATGACATCTCATAAGTATACATATTTTCATAAGCAGGGTCGTACTTTGTACCTGTCCCAAATCTACTTTAAATTCAGCAGAGTACAGATTTTCCTCTAAGAAAATATGCCAAGTGTTGTGTATATTTTTACTGTTGTTTATTTATCTACATACATCAGCAAGTCATAAGGACCGTTAGGCTGAAATTACGTAACGTAAGAGGGGCGAGGGGGGTATACATAAGGCTCTAGTTATATCGTGCCTACGTTACACACGTAAAGGGGGGGGGTTTAAAAAATCGGTTTTTTTTGGGTAACGTAATTTACGGACGGCCCCTCACCATGACAAGATATCTTTTTATTTTTTCCCCTTTCTCGACGTGGTTTCCTGCAGTAAAAACATCTTAATTGCATATCAGTACTAATTTTATTTGGATAATGCGAAAAATCTGTATATTTAGTTAAATGATTTTCATCATGCATAAATAGTTGGACCGATATCGATGAGTAAGATAAGATAAAAAATTAAAAACTAGAAAAATCTGGACATTTTTCGGGAATATTTTGGCATCCGCGCTAAAATTTTTCCTTGGGTTATATTTTCATGAGTTCGTTTATTAATGTTTTAGTGCATAATGTAAGTGGCTTCATTTTTTACCTCAGACATTTCTATAGATTCGGTTGGGTTTTAAAGATATGGCCCAGCAAACGACAAAAAGATGAGTAATTAAAAATTTTGGTTTTTTTCTCAGAAAAGTGGTCGCCGGTAATTTTTTTCAACTTTTCGTAATTTATTTATT